TGGTTCAATATTGGTATATGACTAGGTTGTACCCTTTCTCCAAACCTATTCAATCTGTAGGCTGAGCAAATGATTCATGAAGCCAGACTCCATGAAGAAGAGTGTGCCATTGGGATTGGAGGAAGATGCATCAACAACTTGCATTATACAGATGATACAACTCTTCTTACTGAAAAGGAAGATCTGACGAGCTTGTTGAAGAGTATCAAGGACTGTGACCTTCAGTATTACATCTCAACATCAGGAAAACATAATTCCTCACCCCCAGGCCAATAGGCTACATCATGACAGATGTCAGTGACTAAATCTTGCATAGATCCACAGTCAACATCCTTGGCACCAGCATCTGTTGTTATGTGCCAGCGAGTCACCTGTGACTCATAGTGACCCTATGTACAACAGCCCAAAACTCTGCTCTATCCTGTGCCAATCTCACTGTCTATGACACAACTGCCCCATTACCCCAGTCACTGAATCAATCCATCTCATCGAGGGTCTTCCTCTCCTGTGCTGTCCCTCCACCCTCCCAAGCTTGACTTCCCTCTCCAAAGACTGGTCCCTCCTTGCAACATGTCCAAAGTATGTCAGATGAAGCTTCAGAATCCTTGCCTCCAAGGAGCAGCCTGGCTTTACCCTCTCCAGGACAAACCTGTTCCTTTTCCTAGCAGTTCGTGGTATTGAATATACCACCACAGCTCAAAGGCATCGATTCTCCTTCTATCATCCCTGTCATTGTCCAACTCTCCAGTGCATAGCAAGTGATTACAAAGACCATCTTAGTGTCCAGACTGACATCGTTGCACTTCAGCAGTTTTAGAGAAGTCTCTAACCAGCATCTAGGAAATCAAAAGACGTATTGCATTGGGGAAAATCTGCTGTCAGGGACTCTCCAAAGAGCTAAAGAGCAAAGATGTAACTTTGAAGACTAAAATGTGCCTGATTCAAGCCATATTCTTTTCAATGACTTGCTATGCATCTGAGAGTTGGACAATGAATACGGGTGACAGAAGAATCAAGGCCGTTGGGTTGTGGTGTTGGGGGAAAGTACTGAATATCCCATGGACTGCCCAAAGGACAAACAAATGTGTCTTGGAAAATGTGCAGCCAGAGTGCTCCTTAGAGGCAAGGATAGTGAAACTTCATCTGTCCTTCTTGAGGCACGTTGTTGGGAGGGGCCTATTCTTGGGAAAGGCCATTATGCTTGAAAAAAGTAAAGAGGCAGTGAGGGAGGGGGAGTTCTTCGACAAGATGGACTGACATAATGACAGCAATGATGGAATGAAATGTGTCAGAGATGATAAGAATGGCCCAGGGGAAGGCCAGATCCATTGTTCATAGTGTCACTATAAGTCATAGTGGACTTAACGATTGCTAATGAGGGAGCTCTGGTGGCCTACTGGTAAGGAGTTTTACTGCCAACCCAAAGGCAGGTGGTTTGAATTCACCAGTTGTTCCATTGGAGAAAGACAGGTAATCTGCTCCTACGTGACTTACAGCCTCTGAAAACCCACTAGAGTTCTGTCTCAATGGCACTAAACACAATAGCTAATGATCTTTTTGTTTATTAGTCATCTAAATGTCTTTCTCGGTAAAGTGTCTATGTCCTTTTGTAATTTGTAATTGGATTGTCTTTTTATTGTTGAGGTGTTGGAGTTTTCAACAGATTGTTGGAACTGAGTGCCTTATCACAGGGAGCTCTGGTGGCCTAGTGGTAAGCAGCTGCACTGCAAACCCAAAGGCATGCAGTTCGAATTCACCAGCTCCTCCACAGGAGAAAGATGACTAATCTCCTCCTGTGTGATTAACTGCTCTGAAAGTCCATTGGAAGGTCAGCTGAATCAGCTCTGACTCAATGGCACATAACCACTTTTATCAGTTGTGTCAGTGTTAAGTATTTTCCCCCCCAATTTGGAGGTTCTTTTTACCCTTCTAGAGAATCCTTTTGATGCACATAGGATTTTCAGTAAACCCCAATCATCCAGCTTATCCTGTTGATTTTGCATCAGTTATATTTGATATTTACACCATAGCTGAGGACTCTTGAGTTTGCCCCATTTTTCCTTCTCTTTGGTGATCTCTATTGAGCTTTATGTCAAGGAGCCTGATCCATCCTGCGTTCAATTTTGTACATAGTGAGAGGTACAGTTCCTTCCTCTCCTGGATGAAGCATCAACCAGAAGCGTCCCACTAAGTGTCCCATGGTCTTGGCTCAGAGACCCCCCTTCAAGTGACCAGATGCAGATCTCAGAGGATCTCAGTTGACAGTGGGATTGTGGGCCCCTTAGGGTAGTGAACAAACATTGACTGGGCACCCACAGCCTAGGCCATTCTTCATGCTGGGTGGGTGTACTGTGTGAGGCTGTCAGACCCCATCTGAAAATAACCACTGGTGGCTGCAGAAGGACAAGGTGCTCAGCCTCTGGGCCTCACTTTTCTCATGCTGCAAAGCAGGCCAGTTACTCCTCAAGTTGTAGGAAAATCGTCAACTGCTGACCAGATGCCCCAGGAGTCCGTCAATCAGGAAACCATGCTGCCCGAGTGTTCCCCACAACACAAGTCCTTTCTTTTCCAACTGAGGGAGCCTGGGACCTAAGGAGGTGTCGTGGCCTGCCTGAGGTCATACAGGTGTCCTTGGCAGAGATGACCACCCAAACTCCCTTCTGCCCTGGGACCCCAGTCTCAGCAGGGACTAAAGGTGGCTGGCCATGGACGTGTGTAAGCTGCCCGGCCTGTTCTGGAGATGTCAACAAGAAAGCCTCAAGGCGAGCCATTTGGTGAGGACATGGTCACCTGGACTGGCCCTGGGCTTAGAATCAGAAAAGCAGTCTGATGTCATTGGCTCATTGCAGAAATTTGTTTAATGGTTTAGGAATGTGTACACTCTGGCTCCTCTAAGTTTTTCAAAAAGGCAACTCTTGAGTATTTTAAAAAATAGATTTGATATAAAGATTCATAGATTCATAAATAGGTAACATGAAAAATTCCCAAATGCAAATGGCATCTGCAAAAGGGCAGGCTGGTCCCTCCCCCTGACAGCAGCTCATGCCTGGCAGGGGACAGCGTTTCAGGCTGGAAGGGTCTGGCCCAGGCAGCCCTCTTAGTAAGAGTAACCAAATTCAATATGAATCAGGAGCTTCCTCCAGCTCCAGTTGCTGGGGCCTGCGCACTTGGAGCCAAAGCCCCTTTCTGAGAAGGCAGAGCCCACCTCTCTGCTTGGGGGCTGCCCAAAATTCAATTTCTTTAGGAGTCTCAACTTCCAAGTCCCTGCTCCACCCCTGGGCCAGTGTCCCTCCCATAAGCCTGTCATCCACGCTGTCCAGGCCTCAGGTGGCCTTCTCCCACAGTCCTGGTGGCTGCCAGACAGTGTCCGGCTCCCCTAGCCACCACCTGCTCCAGCTCTTGGGCAATTTCTAAACAAAGGGTGAGGTTTGTTTTCTGTTCTCTTGTCCCAGAGGCCCCAGGCTGCTGGGAGGCAGCCAAGCCTGCTGTGGGGAAGGAAACGGGCATGTTTTACACACTTCCCATTTTCTGTTACCAGAGCCCATGTTCAAGCTGCCTGAGGGACACTATAGAGGCTAGCCGCCACCCCACAGCCACCCACCCAGGAGCCCTTCTTAATGTCATTTGTTTCTGAGATAATATGGGCAGGAGGGAAGAATCCTTCTATTGGAGTCTGTAGGAAATGGCTCCAGTCAAGTCCCCAAGGGGCACCACTAGGCCACAGGGTGGGAGAAAGGACTTCTACTTGAAAGAGGGTACTGTAGACACGGGCCTCGGCCAGGGATAGGGCAGCTTCCCTCCGGGAAGCATGCCACTGGGTCATTTGTGGGATTCTAAACATGGATACAAGTGCTAGGTTGGCCAGTGGAGGAGAGGAAAGGGGAAGCAGGGCCTGGGGGCAGGGAGGCCAGGCTGGCCGGAAGAGGGAATAAACAAGGAAGTGCTAACCCAGGCTGAGCTGGCACCGTGGAGGCGTGGGCACCTGGATGGTCTCTGATCACATCCAAGAGCCCAGGTATTAGACAGGGAGACATCAGCACCACCACTCATCAAGGCCTCTAGTTCAGGGCCTCATGAGGGCAGGAGGGGTGGAAACGACTAGGTCACAAGAAGTTGAAGCGAGGCTAGGACCTATAAGCGAGCTGACACTCCTCAACATGGCAGGAAGGAATTTGACACCTGGGGGGGGGGGGTCTGAAAGCCTCTCTCAGACCTGAGTCTCGGTATGGCAAATTTTTCGTTTCATCATCAGTGTTCCCCTTCCTATCTTGTTCCCTGCACCCCAGGTTTCTGCAAGCTAATGCTGAAGAATTCGCAGGTTTTACAGCCTGAGTGGCAGAACTCTGGGCCCGAGCCAGCAGCCTGTGCAGACTGAGGCGGTGTCCGTGACTCCACAGTTGGTGCCCGTGAAAACAAGAAGCTCCCGGGACACCAGAGGTCATGTCTAAGGCAGCAAGCCAGGCCCCGAGGTGTCTAGGAACCAAGGGACTGGCAGTGATGGAAGGAATACATCCTCAGAAGAGTGAGCAGGCTGCTCTCAACAATGACCATGAGCAGCAGCTGGTCAGTCCAGCTCTAGTTCTCTGCTGCTACCCTAAACATCTCAGTCAACAGCCATGTACCCAGCAGGCAGCTTCCGGCTGCCACAGCTATGGTAAACTCAATATAGGAAATGCTCAAGAGGAGATGTAGAGTGGAGGCATCCCACCTTCTGCCGCCCCTCAGACTCCTGCCCCAGCTGCTGTCCACACAGGTGGTCTGGCTCAGGTCACTCCTGGAATGTGAAGACTTCGAGGGAAGGTCTCAGGCTGCAGGTTTCCTGTATTTTTCTCTGTCAAAGGCTCTTTCCCACTAGCATCCAGGTCACAAGAGATCATGTCATCCAGGACCCCCTGCAGCCACTCTGGAAATGCTGGGGCCCTGGTGGGCCAGTTCAGGGCATGAATTGGCAGGCCAGAGAGAGACAGAGTGGAGAAGCCGGCCTGCGCACCGCGGCCCAGTCAGCACCCACAGCCCCAGCTCTCGCCGATGTCCTTGCTGTCCAGCTGGATGTGGTCAGGGCTCTTCTCGCTGAACATGGGGCCACCGTGCCGCACGATGAGTTCGTTGGCCACCCGCAGGAAGACCTCCTCCACGTTGCTCGAGTCCTTGGCTGACGTTTCAATGGCACAGAGGATGTCGTAGTGCTCAGCTAGGCTCTCAGCCTCAGCCAGCGGGACCTCCCGGAGCTCGCTGAGGTCTGACTTGTTCCCTGTAGGCAAAGGCCAGACAGCGTGGTAAGTTCCCAGACACTGAGTGCGCCTCCCCTACGAGCCACAACACCCACCCATCTCTGCCAGCCTCGAACAAGAACACCTATGCATGGTCAGCCATCTTTTCCAAAAAAATCTTTTGTTGTATTAAAGTTCAAATCCTATCCTCTGAATCCTCATTTTATTTCTTTTCTCTTACAATCAATATTTTCTTATGCTTTTTCCTAAAAAGCAGTAGGACTGGGTGAGAACACCAACCTGTAGAGCTGAAATACCTGAAGTAGAATTCCAGCTTCCCACCCAGGGCTGGGACCCTTGGGAAAGTCACTCAGCCGACACTGTCCCCATTGCCAGCACAGGGGAACAAGAGTAGGGATTGAACACTGAACAGACATGGAAATAACTGACACTCTGTAAACACCGAGGCCAACAAAGAAACCAGCACTTTTGGGCTAAAATTTGTTATAATGTTTATTACTTGGACTATCCTATCCACCTTATGAGGGAACTCTGGTGATCTAGTGGTAAGAAACTGTGCTGCCAACCCAATGGCACATGGTTCGAATCCACCTAGCTGCTCCACATGAGAAAAATGGACAATCTTCTCCCATGCAATCTACCACTTCTGAAAACTTGCTGGAGGGTCAGCTAGGGGTTGGTTCTGACTCAGTGGCAATGAGTTACTGCTATTTGTGGGTATTTGCTTCAACAAGAGTTTGGAGGGATTTTTGTAAGACTGGGACACTCTTTTTCTTTTCTCACAGTGTGATAATGATTATCACTTTGGAAGTGCACTTTTGGCTCCTCCTACCATGTTTGAGATGTTTTTATCACATCTAAAATAATCCATTGAATTGTTGTTTGAGCCAGTTACTATAAGGATTTTTCCTGAAGTCTTTAAATAATTGACTTGTGTAATGTGATTAGGGAGCTCTGGTGGCCTACTGGCAAGAAGCTGTGCTGCAATGCCAAAGGCATGCAGTTTGAGGCCATCAGTTGCTCCACAGAAGAAAAGATGGGCAATCTCCTCCTGTGTGATTAACTGCAGCTGAAAACCCACCCTAGGAGTCAGCTATGGGTCAGTTTTGACTCTACAGTATGAAACAACAACAATGTGATTATAAAGTATACTAAAATCTGGTAAGTCCATTTTTTAGATACATAAACAGTCTTGTTAATTCTTAAAATGATTCATGTCTTCTATAGACTCATAGAAATAGTTGTCAGAGAGCACAGAAACCTTTCACATGGCTTCTTCCTTTAGCAGCCAGTATACATTCTGTCAGCCAGAAATTGCATTTTCATCTCAACATAATGATGATGAATCAAGTAGTGATGAAATTAGTCATCAGCCCAGTCCTGCTGATGAGGGACCGCCTGCTGAACAGGAGCCCGAACCTTGCAAGGAGAACTTGGATAAGTGCCATTTCAGTAGTGATCTTAAGAAATGTGTCATACTTGCTTTGGTGATTGCCATCATCCTGGAATCTGGGTATATCTGTGGTATAGTTCAGGTTCTGAGACATCAACAGTTGGTCAAAAACCGTGAAGATAAATTAAGTGATATGAAGGATTATATTTCCCAATGTCAGCAAGGACAGGAGTCTTTTATAGATAAGCAAAAGACCCTTGCTACAGAAAATGTACTGACTGAAAAAAAGGAAATAGAAACCTTACGGGAAAGACTCACTGAGCTGGAACAGAAGCTAATCTTCGAACAGCAGCGTTCAGATCTGTGGGAAAGACTTTATGTTGAGGCAAGAGATCAAATTGGAAAACAAGAAACGGATGGAAATAAGAAAAGGAGCAGAGGAAACCAGAGGACACAAAAGAAGTCAAAAGAAACGTTTTTGGGTTCAGTTAACGAAACATTTGATACCTTGGTTTTTATGGTACTTGCACCATTAGTCTGCCATAGTTTACTGGATTGTGTATTGCTTGTAGCTATGTCACCAACATCTTATATACTGACATGGTAACCCATGGGGGATAAACTTAGAGAATAAGACTAGGTAGAAAAAAAAAAAGTCTAGAAAACTTTTCTTTTTCTGTCTTTCAGAATGTTTTATTTTTTAATAATTAAGAAATCCATACAAAGAGCAATAAAAAATACGTTTTATGTTAAAAAAAAAAAAAAGAAATAGTTGTCAATAAAATGGGTGTTTGTAGGGGAGCTCTGGTGGCCTAGTGGAAAGAAGCTGTACTGAAATCCCAAAGGTACACGGTTCGAATCCACCAGATGCTCTGCCGGAGAAGGAGGGACAATTTCCTCCTGTACCTGTCAGATCTGATTTGACAGTACATGCACAAAAAATAATAAAATAAAATTTAAGGGAAAAAGATGGGTATTTGTCTCAGAATTGCCTCAAAATAATAAAAGAGAGGGGAGTGGATAGGGGTGTCTAGATGAAATAAGAGTAGACTTGAGCTGGTAGTTGTTGAAGCTAGGTGGTGAGTACTTGGAAGACAGACAACACTGAAATGTGCATGTTGTTTTATTTCTCATTTCCTTGGTGAGAGGGAAGCGGTTATGCGAGTAGAGTAAAGTCCACCTTCTGCAGGGCATGCAGCCTCTGTCTTGGCTTTTCTGTCCTGGTCTGGCAGGAAATCCATGTGGAACCAACTGTCATCCTTACTCTCAGCTGGAGCCAAGTTTGGACTCTTAGACTCAAATCTGTTACACTGGCTCTATCTGCACAGAACTGGGCCTAATGCTGAAGCAAAGACCACAGGCAGCACACAAAGACGTTTGTATAGGGGGAGAGGTGGGCACATCGCTCTGCAGCAGTGGTTTCAAAATAGGAACTTGAGAAACTGTTTAAAATGTAAAAATTCTTGGGCTCTACTTAACTTCTACCACCCAAATCAGAAGCTCTGTGAGGGGCTAACAAGCCTTCCAAGTACTCTGGTATGTGCTGAACTTAGAGCCCCCCTGCTCTGCAGTTTTACAGCATTTGCGAAAGTCACTGAATCACAACTAGCTCACAGCAGGTGTGGTCTAGAATAAGTCCCCCCACCTCCCACACCTGTCTGAGCCTCAGTTTCCATCACTTATAAACTAGCAACAGTGAACTGCTAACGACACACGGAAGCATTAGACACCATGCTGGCCACTGTGCAGACACACAATAACTGTGGAGCAAATCTGCGCTTCCTTCCTCATTTCCTCTCATTCCAGTTCTGAGTAAAACTGACTGAGTAACTGACTGGCAAGATCAGAATCCAAAGGCTCACAAGCAAGTTCTGCCTCCATTCCTACCTGGCCACACTCAGCCCCCCCTCTGAGTACAGGCTTGCCCTTCATTTAAAAAAACAGAAACTATTCAGCCATTGAAAGGAATGAAGTTGTTTTACATGCTATAATATAAACAAGCCCTGAAGAAAAGTGTCGTGAGTGTAATAAATCAGACATAGAAAATAGTTGTAAAACAGTGTTTTAGTGATTATCAGTGACAGGAGGGAGGAGGGAAGAGAGAGTCATTGCTAGGGAACACTGAGCCACTTCTGCTCCCAACACCCCAGCCCCAGTCCCTCTGAACTCACCAATGAGCAGCTGTACGATGTTGGAACCTGCGTACTTCCTCACATCCTCGATCCAGTGAGGCACTGACAGGAAGGAGCTCCTCTTGGTAATATCGTAGGCAAGGATGGCTCCGTTGGCACTGCGGTAGTAACTCTGGGTGATGGTGCGAAACCGCTCCTGGCCTGCTGTGTCCCAAATCTGCAGCTGAAGAAAAGAGGGGGCCTCCGGTGAACATGTAATGCAGACTGGAAGGTAGGAAGTGGGAAGCCCAGTTCCATGCGCCTAAGCTGTAAACAGGGGTTCCACTGCGTGGGACCCCACAAGAGAGACTGGAAGGGGGACAGAGAGAAGGCAGGCCTTCCGAGCCCACAGAGAACACCAGTGGCCTGATTTTGAGAAACATCTTAGTTATCCAGTACTGCTATAGCATAAATACCACAAGTGGATGGTTTTATCAAAAACAAATGTATCTTCTCACAGTTGAAGAGGACTGCTGTTGGCTGCCCTGGAGCTGACGACAACACGCAGTGACCCTATGAACCTGGTCCTATGCTGCAGCATCGTGATGACCTCTGCCATGCTCCAGCCCATCGCTGCAGTCACTGTGTCATTCCATCTCCTAGAGGCCCTTCCTTACTTCCACTGACCCTCTACCTTTCCCAGCACAACATCTTTTTCCAAGGATTGGCCCTCCTGTCACATGTCTCACAAAGGATGTGAGAGGAAGTCTCACCCTCCTGACTTCTAAGGAGCACCCTTGCCGCGCTTCCTCTAAAACAGACTTGCTTGTTCTTTCTGTAATCCATGGGACTCCAACATAACAAATCAAAGGTGTCGATTCTCCTTCAGTCTTCCTTATTCAATGTCCAACTTCCAGATGTACAGGAAGCAAATGAAAAGACCATGTCTTGGAGGTGTACCTTAGTCTTTAATCAGGCATCACTACTCTTCATCACATTTAAGAGGTCCCTGACATGACTTTTGATTTCCTGACTGCTGCTATCATGAGTGATGATTATGGAGCCAAGTAAAATGAAATCATTAATAATCTTTTCTCCAGCTCTCATGATGTTGCCTATTGGTCAAGAGGTGAGGTTTTTTTTGTTTTCTTCATGTTGAGAAGTAATCAACACTCAAGGTTGCAGTCTTCTGTAAATACTTCGAGTCTCCTCACTTTCAGCAAGCAAGGTTGTCTCATCCGCATAACACAGGTTGTAGATGAGTCTTCCTCTGATCTTCATGAGACATTCTTCTTCATATAGTGAGTGCAGCTTCTCGAATTATTTACTCAGCATTTCCTGACTTTAACAGTAAAGTATTCCCTTGTTCTATTCTGACAACTGCTTCTTGGTCTATTTTTTCAAAGTCACTGAAACTTTGAGACAATTACACTTATTTTTTCACAGGGCAGAAACGATGCATGTAGGATCTTGTATCTTATCCAAGGTAGAGTGTGGATTTTCTTTTGGTTGCAATGGAAAGCCATTCGAGATTGTCTGAAAGGTATCAGGCATCTCCTTCAGGCTAGCCTGCCCTCCACCAGCCTGCCTCACGCAGCACGACCTGGCGGCACCTCAGGCCAGGCTGGCCATGGTCTCCATCCCAAAGCTTCTATCTGGGCTCCAGACACGGAGCCTGTGGGAACCTACTCACATTCCCATAATCACAACCTAGAAGAATGAGAGAGTGACACCCCACCCCACGCTGCCCCATCATCTCCCAGGGGCAGGGAGAGGAGAGAGGATCAAAGGGAAATGCTCCTTTGCCACCCCTGGGGGACAATTTTGAGACATACCCTTTAGACTCCTCAGAAAGCCCCTTTTCTAATATTCCACATAGAGGCTCTAATAGTAAAAAAAAAAAAAAAAGAAAGCCCCTTTTCTCCCAGTTTCACTCTCGCCAGTCCCTAGATCTGTTTTCTGGGACACACTTCCTGACGCAAAGGCCCTGTCCGGAGCCCTTGCCTGAGTCTCTGAGTTTTGTAGGTGCCCAAGTGAAGACAAGATCCACTCTGATCCACGCTTTTAAGATGCTCCTCTGGCTCTCAGGTCCTCATTTCCAAGAAGACAAAGTAAAGAAGAAACAAGAGTAGTGTAAAAAAGGGCCATGGCCATGGGCAACCTATTCACTCCAGGAACTGCATCTGCTACTTGACCATAGACAAGGCAATTAAGAAGTTCGTAATTCGATGTTGTTGAAGCCACTGCCATCAGGGACATTTCCAAAGCGAGTGTCTTCAATGCGTATGTGCTTCCCTAGCTCTCTGTGAAACCACACTATGTATGAGTTGTACTGTTCACAGCACAGTGAGGAACTGTTCTCATGACACTCAGAAGGACAGAACCTCTCCACCCAGAGTGAGACCTGCAGGTGCTGCCCCATGACCTCAGCCAAGGACCATGGAAAGATTTGATTCCTTAAAGGCTAAAGAAAAACTCATTTGAAAGAAAATAAAATGGAAATTACACTTAAAAGAAATAAAACGCTACTCTGGCTCGCAGGGAGTGAATGGTCCTGTCAGGAATCTCAGAGAAGGCTTTGTATGCCAGCCTCAACCAGTGATTCAGATTTCCTCTAACTTCCACAAGAGGAGGAAAAGTCAAGCCCCTGGGTCAGCCCTCTTTTCCCCAGGCTGCCCTACTCCACACCAGATCCTCAGAACTGTCTAAGCACAGCTTGCTCCATGAAGTCCCCAGGGTGGTCGTTAGGCAAGGCCTCAGGGGAGACTGGGTGAGCAGTTTACCAAGCCTACTCAGGCACCTGGAGAAACAGACAACAAAACAGTGAAGGAGTTAAGCTGAAGAGACACAGCAACCAGGAATCACCCTGAACCCAAAGTGCTCATTCTAGCATCCCACAAGATAGAGCAAGGTTTAACCTATGGATATCTGAGCGTCCCAGCAAACACCACTGAGCCCTGCTTGCCACTTCATTCGCTGTGGTTAGGAGCCATCGAGCTGACTATGACTCATTGCAATCCAATGAACAACAGCTCTGACCTTGCTCTATCCTGCACCATCCTCATGATGGGAAATGCTCGGGCCCATGTTACAGTCACTGTGTCAGTCCAGAAGGAAGGAAAAGACTTACTACTGGAAGAAGCAGCTCATGAGGCCAAGAAAATGGAGATCCATAAGTGCACAGAGGTCAACAAGCCCCACCACGTCATGTCCTGGTCTGAACCCAGTTAACTGTTAATTCCTCACTGTCCTGACTTGACCCTTTTGTGTTACCACCCTGGGACATAGTGGCCACTTGGCCCTAGCCAATGTCCAGCTTCCAGAAGCAGCCTGGGAGTGTGTGGAGAGGGCCTTGGTCAAACTCACAGCCACTGCTCCCATTTCAGAAAAGCCTTTCTCTAAAAGGTTCAAAGTTTACATAAATGAGTAGCCAGAGCAATCAGTGACTTTGGTTGCAATAATTTTTGCAAGCATGAACTGGAAAGTTATTGCAAGCAATGATAATTTGTAAACGAGGCTTGGGATAAAAACATTCCTCATAGTTTTCTCCCATACTCAGCAGCTGTTAGGTTTTTTTGGTTTGGGTTGGTTGTTGGGTTTTTTTAAGATTTAAAAAGAAAAATTAAAAAAAAAATCCTGTGTGTACCACAAGATCCTGGGGTTGTGAAAAGGGAATTTATAAATGTACAGACAGGACAGAGCTGTCACCAAAGGGACACAGCACCGCCCTCGCCACTTGCCTCACTCTTAAGTCAAAACCAATAAATGGTTTGTAAGCCTGCCTCAAAAAAACAATGACAGTGTGCTAACAACTGTGCAGAAAAAGAAGGAATGGAAACAAAATGCACTGTTTATGCAGACAGTGGGTTTTCAGAGACTATAAACCACATGTAAGGAGGGTACCCATCTTTCTCCCTTGCAGCAGCTGGTGGATTCAAACTGCTTGTATCTATCTGGTTTGGCAGTGCAGCTACTTCTCCACTACTCCACCAGCACTCTCATTTCTACCCATGAAGCCTGTTACCCAGCCCCACTTGGCCTCCACGTATTAGCTAGTAAAGCTAACCACTGTGTAATTTGCATACTGTTGAGGCTAAGGCAGTTTTTCATTACCCAAAGTACGTAATCGGCCTTAAACTACTTAGAATATCTGCTGAGAGAAACCATTACCCCAGTCTCCAACATCTCCACCCACCGGAAGTTGTCCACCTGCACTTGTCATCTGACAAGCCAATAGAGATTTTGTTGGGCAAATTATCAACAAGTCTTCCCATGGTTTTTGCCTCCTGCCTGGCAGATCATTAACCCAGCCTTGTTCAGTCGAGCTTCCTTGTCTTACCCCAGCGCTGGGGGGACTTCTCTGTGCTGCTTCTCTCTGACGTACAGGCCCGGGTACGGCTGCACATAGAAGGCATAGTGAAGCCCAGTGCACAAGACAATACTCAACACTTCAGTTGACTTGAGTCTTTTACGTTTTAAAGTGGTGGGGTGAGGTGGAGGGGTCAAGGCAGCAAGAGTTTCACTCTTCTGTTCCAGGCCCTATTTAATCTCAGAAAAGCCCTCCCCTGTGACCGAAGGACTCGGGCCACTGATGACCACCTCACCTGTGAAGCAGGGCTCTACCTACCAACTCCCAGCACAGCTATCCCTGAATTTCCAGGCTATGATGGGGTACGACTAGCACTCTTGCTGTTGCCTCCCTTTTCTAGGATCCCTGAATCCACTTCAACCTTTTGTTGAACTCCTACCTATTCTTCAGGACTCCTGTTATAAGTCATCTCCTAAGTAATGGTTTTCCTGACACCTCAAACCTTTGCCTTAATCCCAGACAGAATTCATTCTTCTTTCCATCATGTCCCATGCATGGTCCTTCATCCCATGAGCACTGCACATCAGAGTAACAGTCATCCACCCAAGTCAACTCTCCTAAACGAAGATGCTTGGGCCAGGCAGGGAACATGAAACACAGTAAAACAACAGGATTGGTGGGCCAGTGGCAACTAGAAAAGGAAATTCTGTCAAATTTAGTAAGCAAAGAACAAATCACCACCATAAGCCAAACAGTGGGTCTGGGAACAGGAAAGAGTTGAGGGCTGCCGGTGTGTGAGGCTGCCTGGTTTATACGTCTGTCTATCTCAGATCATCGTGCGCTCTACTTTCACCTGAAACTTGTTTTGTTTTGCTTTGAGTTAGGGGAAGGGTTGTTTTTTAATGTACTGTCAAGTTGGAATCGACCCATAGCTA